TAATCATCAGGGAGATGCAAATCAAAACCACACTGAGATACCACCTAACTCCAGTCAGAATGGCAATTATCAACAACTTAAAAAATAACAGCTGCTGGAGAGGGTGTGGTGAAAAGGGAACACTTCTACACTGTTGGTGGGAGTGTAATCTAGTGCAACCTCTGTGGAAAGCAGTGTGGCGATTCCTAAAAGCTCTAAAAATTGACCTTCCATATGATCCTGCAATCCCCCTACTGGGAATATACCCTGAAGAACACAAATCACTCTATAAAAAAGATACCTGCACACGTATGTTTATCGCAGCATTGTTCACAATAGCAAGAACCTGGAAACAACCATGCTGCCCATCAAAAGAGGACTGGATTAAAAAAATGTGGTACATATACACGATGGAATACTACGCAGCCATAAAAAAGAACAAAATCATGAATTTCGCTGCAACCTGGATGGAACTAGAGTCTATAATACTGAGTGACCTCTCACAAAAACAAAAATCCGAATATCACATGTTCTCACTCATATAATGGACCTTGAACATCCAATGCAATACTATGAGAAAATGACGGATGGTACTGGGAAACTATGGGGGGGAGAGGGATGGGAGTAACAGTAGCAAATATCTGTCGGGGGATGGGAAAACACTTCTTATCTACAGGGTGCCTGAATGAAACGTCATTGTACACCTACCCTTAACTGTACCCCACAAAACCATAATAAAAACTACTGATTAATGAAAAAAAAAAAAAACCTAAAAATTAAAAAAAAAAAAAAAAAAAAAAAAAAAAAGGATAAAAGTTATCTACTTAGAAATGTTACAATTTCCACTCAAATATTTTTAATTTCTATGCTCTTACTTTTGGTAAAGAAGGCAATAATAAATATATGTGTATTATTTATATCGTCCTAATACCTTATATCCAGATAAATATGTCTTTTGCTTCAGAATTATCTTTGTGCTAATCAGAATATCGTCTAGAAACACTTTTATTTAATTATTTTTAATTGCCAGTTAATGGTTTGCACTGTCCTCAACAATAGAATTACTATAACTCATTATCAGTAAATGACGGTACTTGCCTAGAGAAAAACAGGGGCCATGGATCTAATTGCTGCAGTCATGACCTAAGCAGCCACTTATGGTTTATACTCCATTTCAAATGCAAATAGCATCTATTTATCGGCTAAGATTTATGATTTTTTTAGTATGGAATTATTTCTATCTGATCCTTAGTATCTTTCCCCCTTCCCTATCCCCTCTTCATTTCCCACTCCCTTGAGACCAAGGACAATCACTTGGCTGCTCTTTTGGTTGACATGATCTTTTCCATAAGCTTCTTCTTCCTCTTGGTCATTCTGCCTTGAGCTACCAAGCTCCTGAGGGCAAAGAACCAACCTGTTTCATCAGCGGCATCAACAATAACTAGAGTATGAAGTGACTGACCGTGGCATTCACTTCTCCACACAGTGTATATTGCCAAGACCTGGACAAAATATGACCTCACCCAGTCTAATGTTTCATGTGAGGATTTGACAGCTTAGAAATGACTTTCAAAGGCCATAGGATTTGTAGCCAGTGAATACTAAAGACACTTACTAACTTCCAAACAACAGAGCAATAGACCTGGATCCAGAGTGGACTATCAATTGTGCCATAATCTTAGGGCTAATTCTTAATCTTAGGACTAATTTCTATGTGTTGTTTGCCTTCAGTGTAGATGTCACCTCTGACAAGAACATTTCTTGACAATTCCCAGGGAAGAGGGGAGGGAGTTCCTTCTTTGGGCTCCTTATGCTTGTCTCATCAAATTGTAATGTGATTATTTATTTATGCATGTCTAGACTATAAGCTCCTTGATGACTGGGTTTGTAGATTACTTAGTTTTACAGCTATAGAGCACGCAATATTATTCCTGACATATAATTGGTGTTCAAAAAACTATTGAATTAGTGAACAGTGTCTCCCAAATAAAGATGATACCTGTTTATTATTGAATTCGCCAGCTCCTTGAAGATAGGAACCAACTGAATTTTAAATTTAAGGTTTTGCTCTCAGAGAATACCACTTCTAGATGGCATTGAATTCACTTCTTACTGCTTCCCACAGGAGACATGAAATCATTCTCAATGCTGTCTACCAGATCACTCATTTCAGACTCTCCTCTTCACTATCTGGGTTTCAGAGTCTTCATTAATAGTCTTTGCTGTTATTTTGGATTTTTCTGTAATATTTCTAAGTAATTGTAGAAATTTTAACAATGGCCTCAGCTGTGGTGGGGGAAAATGCATTAGACGACAGAAACCATTTATTTTTCATCCTTCAGGTGTTTTAGGTGCTAGGACTGAATAAAGATAAGCCTTTTGCGTGAGTATACTTAAAGTCAGTATGGCTTGTTGCTGCAGCTGATCTCAAACCAGGTGAAGTGGAGACCAAACAGAGGCCCAAACTTTATCTGTATGATGACCACTTATCTACTTAATCCTGAATTGTATCCATCTTTAAAATAAAATTAAATTAAAAAAGAAAATTACTTTAAAAACTAAGTGACTGCAAACAATAAATATTTTTTATCTCATGTGACTTCCAAAGGTCAGGAATCCGGGGACCCTTGGTTGGTTGGTTCTGGCTCAAAGTCTCTCATAAAGTTTCTATCAAGTTGTCCTCAAGGGTTACAGTCATCTGAAGGTGTAGTTGGAGCTGGAGGATCTACTCCAAGGTAGTTCACGCACATACCTGGCAAGTTGGTGTTGACTGGTTGTTGGCTGGAGCTTCAGTTCTTCTCCACATAGACTTCTCCATAGTGTTGCTTGAGTAACCTCACAAGATGACAGCTGGCTTCCACCATGGAGACTGTGCCAACCAGGAACAAAGAAAAAGCCCCACAATGCATTTGTGTCCTAATTTCAAAGTCACTTCCACCATATGCTGATTGTTAACAAGTGAGTTATTAAGTTCAGTCCTCAAAGGGAGGCTATTAGACCCCACCTATCAAAGAATAGAAATATAAAAGAATTTGTGGACATATTTTTAAGCTCAGTTAGTTATCAGATAAATGGTTCATAATGTGTAAATATATACAAGAGCAGGCATTGCTTTGTATATGTGTGTAGGTTTTCCTTTAACTTTTAAAATACATTATGGCAATTAAAATCTGTAACATGTGGCATATATTAAAGAAGGTGCATACTTTCTATGTCAATCCTCAGTTTCCTTCTTTTTTTTTCAGATCCCAGAAAAAAACAATCCCTGACATTTATATCTGCAATCTGGCTGTGGCTGATTTGGTCCACATCATTGGAATGCCTTTTCTGATTCACCAGTGGGCTCGGGGGGGAGAATGGGTGTTTGGGGAACCTCTCTGCACCATCATTACATCCCTGGATACCTGCAACCAGTTTGCCTGTAGTGCCATCATGACTGTAATGAGTGTGGACAGGTAAGTAGAGAGGTTTTGAAATATCTTTTTTAATTTTATTTTATTTATTGTTTTATTGAAGGACTGATTACTTAGTATGTTTTTTCAGTTTTCACAGAAGTCTATTTTTTCATGGAAAACATTAAACACTAAAATCTCCTTTTTTCTAATCACTCTTTGTGACTCCATTTTTATTTGCAATTCACTGCAAGGAAAAAAGATTATGAAATACTTGCAACCAGAATGAATTTCCCCACTATGCTTGTGGTAAAGAAGCTGAGGCCCAGAGAGGTAAGAGGATTTTCTAGAGGCACAGAGAGAGTTAGCAGCAGAGCTGAGAATTGAAGTAGGACTTCTTACTCCCTATCCAGGGCTATTTCTGGTATATCCACTGTCTCACATGCTTGTTATCACCTAGAAGCTCTAAGGAATCAGTGGAGTAGATATAGGGTCCCATAAGACTATGAAGTAATTTCCCAGTACCAGGCAGATCATCTTTTATATACATCATTACGTTGGGTTAATGCAAATTCTGTCATTTTACATCACTAGAAATTTATTCCTCTATGTCCTAGAAGGTGCCACAGCCCTTTTCATCAACCGTGTAAGCCAATGTTATTTGAGGAGGTGATGGCGATGGTGAGAACGAATAGAGTCAGACCCATGCAATTCAACTCTAGAGATGGTAGGTAGTTTGCAGCTGCCTCACCATCTAGCCTCTCTAGAAAACATGAAAGCTAAGATGTGCCCTGTGTTATCCAGATGTCAGCACCTTCACACCAGATCCTCTCAACTCTCCTCAAACAGAAACAGGGCCTAAGGACAACCATAACACTTCCAACAGCAATATGCTGTCTTTCAGAACAACCCGCTTAAAATCTCTGTGTACTTTCTTTCCAACCCAACCCCAGCCCAACACACTTGATTCCTCCTTGCTCTGATCTACTTTGTATTTTTTCCTTTGCTTCAAGTATATTATATAATTCACCTTGTGGTATATTTGTGTGTAAACTGTTTACACACAATTTACCAGAAATATAAATTCCACAAAGGCAGGGTCTTTGTCCACCTACAACCCAAATATCTGTGTAGCAGTACCTGGCACATAGGTGCCAAAAAAATATTGATAAATGAGTGGATGAATGTTTGAAGGGTGTGTAAATTTCTCTTGGTCCATCCAGAACTTCTTTCTCAGCTCTACTCTTTTTGCTTTTCCAAGTGCGTCTATAGGGTAGGGAAGTGGTGAGTCATTCTTCAGATGGTCAAACAAAGGAATGGCCAGGGCCATATAAATCATTTGCTCTGACAAAAAATGAAAAATAATGGTCATGTTTTATGCATTTTTAATATCCTGCTGCTTTTCTGCAAGAGAATTCTCAAAATACAGCGTGTACTTCTCAATGTATAATTAACACAACATGTTTTAATCAATATATTGTGTAGATCTAGTTAGCTCAGCTGATGCTTACCAATGCTCACTGTGTCTTCAGAAAAGCCTCATGAGCTTATCAGAGTTCCGACACCTGGGTGAGGGGCCTGTAGAAAAGCTATCTAAAGTACACACCCATACCAATAGTAATCCCATTATTGGGGATCACAGAAGCTTCTTTATACTCTCTACCTTGGAGATAGGAGAATATCGGCCTTTTGAGGGGTAGAGGGTGGGGGGTGGAAGAGGATATTTGTACTACTTCTATAAACCTCTTACTGGAAATAAAGTGAATGGGCCTTTTCTACTTTGGAATAGACCAACTGTATATGGTTCCTAATGTTGAGAGATTTTTCACTCACCGTGAAAAATGTCCTAGAATGTGCCATAGCCCTTTCCACCAACCATGTAAGCCAATGTTATTTGAGGAGATGATGGTGATGGTGATGGTGAGAACTTATGGGCCAATGTGTGGTAGAGCCTGGTTCAGACCCAGGCCATTCAACTCAAGAGATGGTAGGCAGTGATACACTCAAACACCTAAATAGTCGTTTATTTTGTTTTAATTCAGTGGTAAAATTGTATTTTACATTTAAGACATTCAGGCCCTTTTCTTCTCCCAGCCCTCACTCTAGAGGATCAGGTAGCAAGAGACAAAAAAGATTCCATAAAATTGCACCCTTTCTCCCCAGCATTTCTTATCATTCTAACGCTACTAAAAAGTTTTTAAAAATCCACAATTTTGTAAAAGAGAAACGAGGTTTGCTTTGAAAGACCTTAACTAAATGCCTTATCGTTTATATTCATTTAAGTCATTTTAATAGCCAATTTAATGGATCACAGATTTCAAGTGTTTCTGATAGCACTTTCATTTCTCTTTCCCTTCTTAGTATTAAATGCAAGTGTGCAGGATATTTAATAGTGGTTTCCTGCCTCCATAGCAATACCAAAAAAAGGTCAACATCCAAAATATTAAAAATGATTTCCTCCAGATGTAAGCCACCTAGATTTTCATTAATTCTATAAATAAATTCTTCAATACATCAAAAGTCAATAAATAGGAGCCAAATTTCCTATTTATTCTTTCATTTACTCAACAAATACTAAGCATGTATCATATGCCAGAGACTGCTAAGCACAGAGGATACAGTGGTCTTAAACTAATAGCCCAGACTCCTGCCCTCATGGGACTTCCATTTCAGTCCCAGACAGATATTCAGTGAAGAGTCACACAAATAAATGTCTATTTCTACACAGCGGTACACATTAGGAAGGAAAAATAGAGTCTTCTCATGATCTGCATTTAAAGTCATGGGCCCTCATATAGAGTGAGTGGTCAGGGATGGCATCTCTGAGAAGGAGACAGTTAAATAGGGATTCGAAGGAAGAGCAGGAGGAAGAGGGGCAGATTCTTCTAGACAGGTATAACAGCATGTGCCTGACCCTAAATGGGGAAAGAGCTTGAAGGAAGTCAAGAGAGAGATTGGTACATACCCTAGTTTGCGCACCAGGCAGGAGCAGGCAGATAAAGACCTTGTAGGGCATGGTGAGAATTCTGAATTTTATCTGAAAGGCAATGGAAAGCCATTGAAAGGATTTTAGCTAGAGAGTAATCCTATCAGAGAACATTTTCTTTTTTTTCTTTTTCTTTTTTTGAGTTGGAATCTCACTCTGTTGCCCAGACTGGAATGCGGTGGGTGCTCCCGGCCACCGCAGCCTCGACCTGCTGGGCTCCGCGATCCTTCCTCCTCAGCCTTCCAAGAAGCCGGAACTACAGGCGCGCGCTACCACGCCTGGCTCATTTTGATTTATTGTAGCGATGAGGTCTCACCAAATTGCCCAGGCGGGTCTTGAACCCGCAGGCTCAGGCAATTCGCTCACCTCAGCCTCCCAAAGCGTGGGATTACAGGCCAAGCCACCGAGCCCGGCTAGAGAACACTTTCTAATTGCTTGATGCCGTGACTTCAACATCCTCTAATTCCAGTTAGAATGAGGGCTGAGCTGCTATGCAGTCACTGCTTCACCTACTTCCCCAGCAAAGAGAGAAGGGAGTCTTCTCGCCTAACCACAGGGATTGTATGTACTGTGTGTAAAGGAGGGTGGCTGAGGATCCCCAGCCAGAAACCTCTCCCTGCATGTCAAAGGTCCGTTAAATGAATCTTTTCATTATATGAGTCCTCAATGAGTAGCTCTACAAAAACTTAGAGAAAATTAAGTGACCATCAAAACCATTTTTCACATTTGTTTATTATCTACTAATACTACCTTTCACCAGCCCCAAAACCCAGCAAAGCTCTGCTTTTTAAAATAGCCTTCCGTCTGAATCTGAGCTCTTTTTTTTACATTCTTCATTTTTCAGTTAGCTCCAAAAAATTCTCACATTTGCTGGAGGACAAAATATACTTGATATGTCAGGATTTCAAGTGATTAATGGTTTTTTTCTGTAACCAAACTGGGAAAAAAAGAAAAAGAAAATCCTTCCCCATGAAATGAGCCCCTGGCTTAAAGCCTAAATTCTCTGGGGAATTTTCATTGTCTATACTAGTCATGCTTCTTTCTCACTTTGACTTCTGGGAACTGAACCCCTAAGGGTCTGGGAACCTTATTGTAAAGCCATCTGAGCAAAATGTTTGTCCTACATGCCTGAACTACATTCTGCTGGGGGATTCTCCCATCAGCCCCCACACTTTCCTTTTACCTGGCTCTTTTGTCAGTAGATTCTGCCAGGGAGAGGATCATTTCCTCTTGGAGGAAATTTCTATTCAGAAACTAAGGTTTCCAAACTTCGTTTACAGGGGAAGCACCTTTGTAAATAAAAAGTTTGTACTGTGGAATTTTACCATTATCAGTGTGTTCCTAGAAGGAACAACTATTTCAGTGAGTGGTTTGTTCAGATTTGCAGAGTCAAGAGTTGTTTTTTCCACAGGTACTAGGCATCACTTAAAATATATAACTTTCTTTTGCCCTGATAGAAGATAATAATACTAATAATTTACTCTTGCTGTGAACCTCTCATCCTTGGGGCTCAGTGCTTTTATTGATTTCTCCCAAACTCTTCTTAACTGGCTTTGCAGGTACTTGGCCCTCGTCCAACCATTTCGACTCACAAGTTGGAGAACAAGGTACAAGACCATTCGCATCAATTTGGGCCTTTGGGCAGCCTCCTTTATTCTGGCGTTGCCTGTCTGGGTCTACTCAAAAATCATCAAATTTAAAGATGGTGTCGAGAGTTGTGCTTTTGATTTGGCATCCCCTGATGATGTACTCTGGTAAGTTGTTAAAACTTAAGAAAAATAGGGTCATATTAAGTTGTGAAGTACTTCATCCTCCCAGGCAACATCTGAGCAGCCTTGAAGAATGTCCTTGTGGCTTCTCTTCTCAACAGTCTCTCTGCTTAGTTTTCTCCTTAACACAAGCAACCAAGGTGATAACTTGATTTTTAAGGAAAGGGTAGCATTTAGAATAAGATTTTAAACTTTATCATGTAATTTCAGTGGGCACACATATATCTAAGTATGGATTTTAAAGAACCATTGCAGCCAGATGCAGTGGGAACGTAGCGATCAAGGGAAGGGAAGAATTTCCACGAGGGTCTATGAGTTAATCAAACTCAAACCTCATCAAATCACAATTGTTTGCTTGAAATGTGTCCCTTAAAAAGATATGTTCAAGTCCCACGCCTCTCTTATCTCTGTACCTGTGAATAAATGTAACCTTATTTGGAAATAAGATCCTTGCAGATGTAATCAAATTAAGATGAAGTCATAACAGATTAGGCCACGTCCTAAATCCAGTGACTGGTGTCCTGATAAGGAGAGGGGGTTTGAAGAGATACAGAGACACCCAGAGGAAATGCTTGTGAAAACAGAGGTAGAGATTGGAGTAATGTGTCTACAAGGCAGGGGACATTAAGGACTACCAGAAGCCAGCAGAGAGAGTAAGAGAGGGACATAAAGCAGACTCTTTCTCAGACATCCTAAAAGGAAACAACATGCCAGCACCTTGATTTCAGACTTCTAGCTTTCAGGACTGTAAGAGAATACATTTTAGTTGTTTTAAGCTGTGCATTTTGTGCTAGTTTCTTACAGGAAGGACATTAGTACAGCAACTAACACAGCCATTTCACACATTTTAATTTGAGAAGAAAAATTAAATCAAAAATTGTCTGAAATTTAAACACAGTTAAAGTCCATAACTAAAATACTTTGAGCACCTAATAAGGGCCAATTACTGTGCTCGGTGTTATTACATATGCTATCTCAGGTCAGTCTGGCAGATGTCTTTCTCCTATTCCATTACTTGTCAAGTATATGAATCATTTCTGTGTCATGTAGACACAGCCCAAGAGAGATGGTGGTAAAGAACCCACAGAGCCACAAATCCAGTAAGAAAAAAAAAGTCATGTGAGTGCATGTCTTAGTTCAGGCTACTATAACACAAAGTACTATAGACTGGATGACATATAGAAATTTATTTATTTTCTCATTTCTAGAGACTGAAAATTTAAGATCAAGCTGCCAGCATCAATCTCTTCCAGGTTGTAGTCAGCCAACTTCTCATTCTATCCTTAGATGGCAAAAACAAACAAAACAATGTAGATAGGAAGCAAGATTTTTCCTGCTTTTTCTTATAAGGACCCTATTCCTATTCATGAGGGCTCCACCCTTATGACCTAATTCCCAAAAGCCCCACATCCTCATGCCATTATATTGGGAGTTAGGTTTTCAACATAGAAATTTGAGGGGAACAGAAACATTTAGGCCATAACAGTGCAACATAGGTGGGATTGGACTTTCAGTTCCCCAATGGCAGCATAGAAGTAAGTTGGCTACACTTCCCCCCCACAGAAGACCCAAAACAAATATATAACACAGAGCTTATCACCAGCAATCTTTATTCCTTTTCATTCTTTTTCTTTTTTGTTTTCTCTTTTAGTTCTGGGATATTGTTCCCAGCAATATCCCAAAACTAAAATATGAAGATGAGACAATTTCCCAAGTCACAGAGAAGTAAAAATAACTAAGCAGATGGCAAAAGAACCAGACTTCCACATCTTCAATGTCCCTTCCTCCCATTCAGTCTTGTACTGAGTACACAGAAAATTTCCCCTCAACTTATGGTTTCTACACTAAAAATAGTGAGCTTAAGGTGTGCAAGCAGTTTCTTCATGTTATGTTCCCTGACATAAAACTTGTCTCTGCCTAACCCACAGGAAGCATCGGGAGTGCTGGGAGAAAGAAATACCCCTGAAGATAGGCAGAGACAAAGTGGGGAAGTGGGGCTGCCATCCTTAGTCTTGGAAACTCTGCTCTTTAACTCAGCCAAAAAGGATGCCAAATTAGAGTGGCTATTCAGCAGCACCACACTGCAGGAAGTACATTGCACAGGTCCCCTGGGCATGAGCCCCTAGCCAGCCTTCCTACACTGCTGGGATATCCCCTTGGGACTTCCTTCTTTTAGGATGGGCAATGCTTAAATTACTTATAAAGCAAACCTGGACTTAAGGCACCACCTAGAGCCAGAAAGGAGACAGCAACCTACGGTAAACAATCTCTTAGCAAATATATCCAATAAAAATCGAAATAAATGAGAAGAGAAGACCGGAATAAATAATCCTTCAATGAAAAAGACATAGATGTATATCCATAAGAAACAACAGCAAAGACAGACCATGATCTCCCTGAATGGACAAAGCAAGGAACCAATCATTCATCCTTGTGAGACAGCCTTATGTAAACTCTCTGACCAAGAATTCAAAATAGTAGTTTTAAGGAACTTAGTGATCTCCAAGGTAACCCAGAAGAGCAATGAATAAATGTGTCATAAATTTATAAATATGTCAGAGAAATTTAACAGTGATTGAAATCATTTTAAACACCAAACAGAAATCTTGAACCTGAGAAATATATTTGCTGCTCCTGATAGCAGAATGGATCAAGCAGAGGAAAGGATCAGTGAGCTCAAAGATAGGCTATTTTAAAATATATAGTCAAAAGAGAAAAAAAAAAGAATGAAAAGGAATAAAGACTGCATGCAAGATACAGAAAATTACCTAAAAAAACCAAACCTGAGAATTTTTGGTGTTTAAGAGGAAGTTGAGCAGGAACAAGAGTAGAATGCTTATTAAAAGAAATACAGAAAGTGTCCCAAAACTTTAGAAAGATAAATATCCAGGTATAGAAAGATCAGAAAATAGCAGATTTAACACAAAATAAGACTATCCTAGGGTATATAATAAACTCTCAAGAGTCAAAGATAAAGAGAGCACTCTAAAAGCCATAAGAAAAAAGAAGCATATAAAGGACCACTAATTCATCTAGCAATGGACTTCTCAATTGAAACTAGCCAGGTCAGGAGGGAATAGGATGACATTTTCAAACTACCAAAAGAAAACAATTGCCATTCAAGAATACTGCATTCAGCATAATTATCCTTCAAATATGAAGGAGAGGTAAAGTCTTTCCCAGACAAAGCTGAAATATTCACCACCAACAGACTCATCTTATGAGAAATGCTAAAGAGAGTTCTTTATTCTAAAAGAAAATAACACTAATATGCAACAAGAAAACATTTGAAGGTATAAAACCCATAGGCAACCTGAAGTACATGAACAAACCCAGAATAGTCTCATCTTGTAAGTAAAGTATACAATTCTATTTCTATTGTGAAGTCCTAGAGACAAATATATCAAAACAATAATAGCTACAGCAACCTGTTAAGAGAGAGGTAATATAAATATATGTAAATTGAGACAACTAAAAGCCAAAATGGGGGGGAATGAAGTTATAGTTTTTTCATCTTTTTCTTTGTTTCTACTCTTTTCTTTGTGATCTAAGATAAGTTGCCATCTCATTAAAATAATTTATTATTTCTATAAGAAGTTTTTTATATCATGGTCATCACAACCCAAAAACATATAATAAATTTAAAAATAAAAAGCAGTGAATTAAAACATACCACCAGAGAAAAATCACTTAACTACAAAGGAAGACAGTAAGAAAGAAAGAATGAAAGAAAGGAGTTATAAAACAACTAGAAAACAGGCAGCAAAATAGCAATAGTAAATCTTTACTAATCAATAATAACATTGAATATAAATAGTACTGGTTCTCCAATTAAAAGGCATAGAGTGACTGAATGGATGAAGAAACAAGATCCAAGTATATACTTCCTATAAAAAAATCTACCTTGCCTATAAAGACACATATAGACTCACAGTGAAGATGTGGAAAAAGATATTCCACGCAACTAAAAACCAAAAAAGAATAGAAGCAGTCATACCTGTATCAGATAAAATAGACTACAAATCAAAGACTACAAAAGGAGACAAAGAAGGTCAATATATAATGATAAAAGAGTCAATTCCACTAAAGTATATAGCAAGTATAAATATCTTTGTAGCCAACAATGGGGCTCTCAAGTATATAGAGCAAACACTAATAGACCTAAAGGGAGAGATAGTCTGTAATACAATAATAGTAGGGGATTTTAGCATGCCATTCTCAGGAATGAACACATCATCCAGACAGAAAATCAACAAAGAAACATTGGAGTTAAACTACACCCTAAACCTAGTATGTCTAACTGATATTTGCAGAACATTTCACCAACTTACTGAAGAATATACATTATTTTCATTAGCACATGGAACATTCTCCCAGAATAGACCATATTTTAGGCCACAAAACAAATCTAAGCAAATTCATAAAGGGAGAAATCATATCTATTACTTTTCTGACCACAATGTAAAAATGCTAGAAATCAATAACAAGATAAACCTTGGAAACTACACAAACACATATAAATTAAATAAAGTGTTTCTGAAAAACTAGTGGGTTAATGAATAAATCAAGGGCAAAATTATAAAATGTCTTGAAACAAATGGAAATACAACATATCAAAATCTATGGGATAAAGAAAAATCAGGACTAAGAGGGAAGGTTAATGCAATAAACATGTCTATCAAAAAAAGTAGAAAGATTTCAAATAAACAACCTAAGAATGCACCTTAAATAACTAGAAAAACAAGAACAGCTGGGCTCGGTGGCTCAGTCTGTAATCCTGCGCCTTTGAGAGGCTGAGGTGAGTGGATTGCCTGAGCCCGCGGGTTCGAGACCCGCCTGGGCAGTGAGACCTCATCTCTACAATAAATCAAAAAATCAGCTGGGCGTGGGAGCACATGCCTGTAATTCCGGCTACTCGGAAGGGTGAGGCGGAAGGATCGCCAGAGCCCAGCAGGTTGAGGCTGTGGTGGCCGGGAGCGGCCACTGCACTCCAGTCTGGGCAACAGAGTGAGACTCCAACTCAAAAG